CTCATGAATATGTTACATAGATCAGAAATACTAACACAAAAGAAAAAAGATTTCATCATGTCATATGCAAGAAGGAAAAATAATGATGAAGAACATTTGACTAAATAATTAGCTGAAATAAATGCAAGAAAAAAAAACAGTATCTAAAATCATCGATAAGGATAAAATCGATTTGATTTTTTAGCAATATATGACGACGGATGATTGTCGGAATATGTTAATGATGTTGATGTCATGAGAATTGATGGTGTATATGATCGGCTCAATTTTGGTAGCTAATGTCCTTGCAACGCAGTCATTTATATATCTGATACCTGTTAGTAAAAACAACAAGGAAAAGATTATTTCTTATATCTCTGTATTATAACTAATTTTATTTACCGTGTAGCGAAAAATGGCCATGATTAACAATAACTAAATGTTTTAATCGAGACCAAATATCGAAACGATCGAATTTAAAAAAGCCTTCACTTATCATAATATTATCAATATCATAAATACATTTTTGTTGAAATCTATTTGTTTTTGTTCGTAGATTGATAAGTTTGAAGGATAAGGAGACATCCAACAAAGATATGGTTCTTTGCTATATATTTGTTTACAAAAATTTGATAAAGAAGCTGAGAATTTTTGTAAGCACTTTAAATAGTTATTAAGGTAACTATCAGCTGATACAGTTATTTCTTGTAATTTTTTCCTATAATGAACTAGCATAATATTAGCAAAGAAAAATCAAATTCAAATTACTCGTTCATCTCTGATGTGTATAAACAAAATATCACAACATCGATTGTTTGTAAATCACATATACCTTTTAAAAACTTTAGAGTATCTGATGAAATTTTATCATTTAATAGACTAGCTAAATGTATATAAATCAATTTTGTTGAATTGTTTGGCAAAATGAATTGTTTAATATCTTGATATTCGAATGTGCCAATTTTACCTTCGTGTTTTAAAGTTGTTTCACCTAAAGTTGTAGCAACAAAAAGTAACTTATTCTACATTTTCCCTCTTAGATTACCTTCCATACAAGTATATTTTCCGTTTTGACGCGAGACCTCGTTATAGTCCAATAATCGTCCGTATTTTAAAACTTTAGCTACATCTCGATACAATGTACGAATGGAATGATCTCCTATGAGCAAAACACTTAAGCCATTGTATATCGTTAAATAGTCCGCTTGGGGTAACATATTTGATAATACTGTTTTTGTTGATTGTTCTAATGGTTGCTCCTCTGGTGTTAACGGTGGCAATTCGATAAGATTGATCTTTGTTAATGTCGAAATACTAGGTGGTTCGTGTGGAAGCGAAGGAAACATTGCAAAAATAGCAAAAACAAATGAGAATAATTGAAATCTGAAAACAAACGAAGAATGAAACAGCAACTTCAGTCAACTGTTAACAGTCAGAACTGCAAAAACTCCAAAAGAAATCCATTATACCAAACATCACACACAACTAAACAAGTTTATCATAGAAGCAAGAATAGAAAATGTCACAGCATAGCAAAAAATAAACAACTTGTAGAACATCGAGTTTCGTTACTTGAAAATAAGATTAAAAATGAATCAAAAATTTTAATATAGAGTACTAATAAAAAATAAAATATGATTCACCATATTCTTTAAGAACCGACCAATAATTTATCATAACTATTATACAGGGTGATTCATAAGTTTTGAGGCGCGACAAAATTCATTTATACGAACACATAGAACATTGTCTAATCACTATGTTTTTATATCAGCTTCGAGCAGTCGTGACGGCCTTTCAAGTGATATATAATTGAATAACATCTTCCCTTATAATAATAAAAATATTAATATGAGAATGTGATGATAAAATTTTCGAAATCGACCAATATGATGCAAAATGTATCTCGCAACTATCTTGGCGTAGATAAATGATACAAATGTTGAATTTTTTTAAAATGATGCGGCGTGAAAAACTTTACGAATATGTCGGAATAAACACTTGTAGACTTGTTCTTATAGCATAGTTCATACTCACAATCAACAAGCTTCATGATGGCGTTAGTAAGTAGAATAAAAAATATTTTAAAGATTTTTTTACTTTGCATATATCTCAGTTTGAGAAAAAAAATAAGAGCTTGAATTTTATTTTAAAAGATGCATCACAGATAGCTCTACAAAGTCTGTGCAAACAGATCTCAACTGTAAAATAAACAAGTCTTCGAAATGTTTTTTTTATTATACTCAATACGATGAAAAGTAGCATCATCATCAAGGTTGTTCATTTTAAGAATGAACTATGTCATCTGAACAAGTCAGTATGTATTTGTTCAGACATTTTTTGTAGAGCTTTTCACATCGCATCTTTTAAAAACAAATTCAAGATTTTCTCATTCATCTATTCTGAGATATGCATGAAATAAAAAAAATGTTGCAAACATTTTGATACACCCTATATACTATTTTGTCGATCTCAAAAAGTTTCTCATCACATTCTCAAGTTTATATTTTTGTTACTATAAGAGAAGATGTTATTCAATTATATATCATTTGAAAGGCCGTCACGAATGCTCGAAGCAGATATAAAAACATAATGATTAGACAATGTTCTATCTGTCCTCATAAACGAATTTTGTCGCGCCTCAAAACTTATGAAACACCCTGTATGGAACTCATTGAATAGAACCGAAAAGTTCACACAACAATCAATCGATTTAAGATGTGTTATAAATTAAGCAGAATTATATCGTAAGTCTATTGAATACATATCTTTTCTCTATTTCTTTTAACTTTTCCTAACCCTGCTCTATTTGACGGGATAGCCACCACGAACAGGCACAGAGACTATATGCGCACAACTCAGTTAATCTATGAGAATGTTATTGGCGATTGTGTAGTGGTATTTGTTCGATGAATGAATTACATACAAGATGCTGAATCTCATAGAGAAAAACTGGACAAAGAACAGAAGTAGTCACTTAGCATAGAGACAGATCACATGTAATCATGTTTTGGGTGTGTGATCATCTTTATGGTCGAAAGGGATCCGCCGCCATTGGATAACGCCTTCCGCAGCACATCTATATAAAGATCGATGTCTGTGACTACAAAGAAGAAAAGATTTTGTCCCAAAAAATACACAATTATTAATCCAATAAAACTAGATGAAGAAATATCTAGTTCCACTGAATAAATGAAGGAGAACTACACTATCATTCGACCAAAAAAATGAGATCGAAAAGGCTGAGATGTAACTAAAACAGTACTTTCCTTGACAATAAAAAAAACAGTGCAAGTAGAACCTTGATTTAAATAGCTTGGGCGAAAATCTAGGCACTAGTACAATTCGTCGCGATCATTTCGGCGCATATAAACGAGAGGATATATTGATTGAATTAAGTGATTTAGTTTAGTATGTTGTTTAATTAATCACCCCTAAAAATGTTTTCCATTAGAGTCTAATGACTCTTTCTTGATAATAGTTTCTTTCACAAAAAAATGATAGGGGTGTCAATTTACAATCTATTAACCTAAATTTAAATTAAATTTCAATTTAGATTGATTTGAAATTTAAAAAAATAAAAATTTTTGAGCTCAAAAATTTTAATTTTAATTAAGTTTAAATTAAAACATTTTTTTTTTGAATGTAATAAATTGTTTTAATCCGCGTTAGTCATCGGTATTTGGAAAATACATGACTTAAGCAGTAATACATGAGAAGTAAGAGAAAAATCTAGTATTGAAGTTCAGCATATGCTCATAAATATGAAAATTTCTGAACAAATCATACATGATTTCAGAACTTCAATCTTCCATATAATAAAGACGCTCAAACATCCAAATTTATTAGCACAATTCATAGAGGAATGCTTATTTTTATTTCTAGAAAACACGAAAAAAAATTTGACTTGTAACAGCTTCAATAAAGTCACAATCGATTTGAGTCACCCTTTCCTAAAATTTTCCCACTTTAAATTCAAAAAACTTAACTTGAGTTTAACTTTTCATTTAAAAAAAATTTTTTTTAAATTTAAATTTTCAAAAAATTTATTTCTTAATTTAATATTTTTTTCAAATTTAAATGTGTTACCTCTAAATAATAATATCCTAAGAACCCTCTAATGTTATAAAATTTAACACGATTATTTTTATTTAATGGTCGCATCACCGAAAATCTAAAACTCATTTCGAAAATTTTCAAAGCCATTTCATCCAGTGATCGAGTAGCTTGGTAAATCACAGAAAATAGTCGCAAAAAATACTGAATGAGTCGTACACTCCAAATAGCAGCGAATTTTGCCTTTATTTCTTCTTGTTTTTCTTAGCTGAAGATTCCTTCAGAAGTCGTCTCGTGAAAGAAATTGAGTGTCATTTAGTAGCAGACTTTTTGCACTTTAACAGAAGGATTTTGTAAGCAAGTTTTTCAGAATTAAATTATTTGTTCCTTGGAAGTGCGTCTTCTGTCCATCATGTAGATCTAATAATTCCATATTAGAGCATACATTTACGTGATTAATTAAATAACATACTAAACTACATCACTTAATTCAATCAATATATCCTCTCGTTTATATGCGACGAATTGATCGATCACCGAAAATCTATAACAAAAAAAAAGAGATCAAAATATTTAGGGAAAATAAAAAACCTTTATTTCTTACTTAGTAGATATATAATGACTGTCTGTTCGTAATAATCAATAATATGAACGAAATCTATAATGACATTATAATAGAGATTCAAAAGATCGATTTTGAAGCTACAAAGTCTATGGTGGAACTATAGTACACGTTTGTTTACTTACCTAAGAAATCAGTTATGATACCTCTGTTTACTAATGAAACGTTACCGGTGTTTCATGTAGGGAACTGCAAAGTGGACCAAAATTTGACTTTTTTACGGGACCGGGACCGGGACTAAAAATTTTTCACATTG